CACTAAAGAAGGGAAACCTTCACTATTCGTGGAAAAATGTTATCAAGTAGTGGATGCTGTAAAGTGAACGGCACTAAAAGTCATCTTCCTGAAAACACGATCCTCGTGGAGATCTAAACCTTCTCAGGGTAAAAGGATTAGCAGCTGTGTCGTGTCCTCGTGCGGCTTCTGTTCAGAACAGACTTAAACGTCTTCCAGTAAATCTTGCACGCTGATCAATAACAGGAGTGCTGCTGGAGTTCATACTGTTTTTTTTGTTTGTGTGTTTTGTTTTTCACCATTCAGAGGCAGTGAAATGTTTGATCTGCAGTGGCAGTGAACTTTTTCATGCCTCAGTTATAAACCAGCAGGCATACACCCACTACGTTTACCTACCTTATTTTGCAGAGTTCACTACAGGCTGTTTTTATCACTTTTTTTCAAGCATGCTGCTTCTCCACAGACCAGATCCACCACCCACAGAGTTTCAGCACAACCTCATCACAGAGACACACCCTTAAAGATATTGACTTGGGGTCTGTTGGGTCTTTTTATATGACATAGGTGAGATGGAGATTTCTAAAGTCTACTGTATAGTATGTTTACATTACCTGTCAGATTTCTTTCAACTGGGGCAAACTGTAAAGAAATTCGTGGGCTTTTGTGATTCTCCTTGAGCCTTTTATCTAAACGTATTTAAAGCGAGGCCACTACATTCTCAGATTATTATTTTAGGGTCTTTGCCTTACAATATAAAGCGCCTTGAGGGACTGTTATTAATGATATTAATGAATTGATTGATACTTGGTGAGCATAGTTTTGGTACAATGTGCACATTGAAGACAAATTGTACTCTAATATAAAAACAGTACAAAATCTACACTGATTATTACAACAGAAGACGACAATCTTGCAACCAAAGAGGTTTTTCTAAGTGAACGGTGCGTGCACACCCACTCTCTTTAAACAAATAATCCAAGAACGTAACAGTGGCAGCATTTCAGAGGTCCAGAATTTGGATCCTGTAATAAGAACAACTGCCGTCTGCAGACATGTCAAAGCTGAAAATGATTAAGAGCTGTCTATGTTTTTTTTTTTTTTTGTTTGGTCTTGTCGTGAGCCCTTAAAAAAACAAAAAAACAGGAGGGTTAAAATATAAAACAAATACAACTGCTGTCAAAGTGGAGCCAGAGAGTGCAAGACTCTGTCTGCAGTGGAAACGTGCAGCATTCAAAGTGAAGCAGCTGAAAAGGAAAACATCTGTTGTAATCCCTACTGCTGCTGTTGCTTTCCCAGGTGTCTCGTACCATTAGCACTGTGCCTCTTTGTTCTTTTAAAACAACAAACTTTGTGAGCAAATACTCAGCCGTACTGGTGTTTTCTTATCTGTAACGGGTGCGTGATGCCAGAACATTTAAACAGTCGCATCGTCCTTATTGTCATTTTAGCTTGGCCCTGTTTGTATCGAGAGGCTGAAGGTTCGGCCCAGATCCCTGCAGGGGAAACGCATCCTGTTATTTCAAATCTGATTGTTTTATTTTATTTTTCATCCCAAGGAACAAGTTCTCCTGTCTCTCTAAAGAAGGGAGCTCTGACCACCCACTGTGTACATACTGTAGTTTTAGCTTCATCGAAAGATTTTGTAAATATTTGTTTTACTTCCTATTATAATATTGATATTTTTTCCTTTTTTAAAAATAATGGGATTTTAGATCAGCCGTATGTGAGTTTGTTTAATTTTGTTTTGATACTTAATGTGTGTAAGAAAATTATCAAATTGTTTATGTTCCAATTAATAAGAACAATGGTTTATTTTGCTTTTTGTTTGTGCAGTAATGATGCTGCAACAAAATAATAAAAATGTTCATAAAATAATAGATTATCTGGTGTTTCTTACATTTTTTCCAGCTTTCCAAACTCTTATATAGGAAATAATTGGTGGACACGTTTTAGATTATTTGTGTCGCTGCTGTAAAAACAGTTGTTATAATGAAGAATCACTCTGACAAACACACTTCAGTGCCACACAGCAACCAGTAAATACCACATTCATCAAGTGGTCAGAAATAGGGCTGGGTCGTCACTGATTTCTAGAATCGATTTGATTCATGATTCAATTCAATTCCATTCGATTCAAATCAGGGAAATTTTGCCTCAGACAGTCAGAAATATTATAATTCAGTACATTTCCATATTTTTAGATCTATAAAACTGACACTTGCGAGATCAAAAGTGTAAGCATTACAGCAGATGCCTTTGTGTCAAAGTAGCTGAGGCTAAAACACAGAAAAACATGAAGGTGATTTTCCTGGGATTTTATAAAAATATTCTTCAGTAGATCAAAAACGAAAGAAAACCATTAATCAACATATGAACATTACCTGATGCTGCTGACATGAAGCAAAGCAAAGCTACAGAGGTTTGATTAGAGACACAGCTAAGCGTTTTGCAATTTTGCATAATTTAAAGTTTACATTTGTTCAGTATTGAACAGCAGAAATGACGCTTTCTTTTCGGAAGTAAGTAAAAGGAAAAAAACGTCCAACAGTGCTGTAAACAACGGTAGACTTGTGCGTAACTAGCAAGCGAATAATGCAGAAAACAGATTTTTAGATGAGAGAGAGAGAGCTGTGCATGAAGTGTGATTTTTATCGTGGTGGAAGCAAAACAGGAAAAGTAAGAGGGAATTCATGACGATGTTTATGTGAAGCGTAGTTTGCTGCTTCTTTTGCTGCTGGTTCGGTCAATATTGTTTGGTGAGAGATAAAAACCTGCAGCTTCCAAATCTGCGCAAAAAGGGCGTGAACACAAAGCGCGGACCCGCCGAAACATCAGAATCATCAGCTGTCGGCTTTCAGCCCCGACCGTGTCCGTGCCGTCGGGTGAGAAAGTCACATCTCGCTGATTCTGATGCGTCGGTGGGTCCGCGCTTTGTGTTTACATCTTTGTGCAGAATCCGTGTTCCTGCTCTCATTTACTGTTTTAGCTGTTTGGTGGTTGTTGAAATTTTGTGAGGTTTAAACTGAGATTCTGGCGTTTCGTGCAAAATAAATTTAAAAATCGATTCAGGATTTTAATGAATCGATATCACGTTATCCAAGCCAGAATCGATTTTAATCGATAAATCGATTATCAAAACCCACGCCTAATTACTATTTCCATCCATTTTCTTCTGCTTGTCCAATTCAGTGTTGGATGCAACTGCTGTTGGGCTGTCATAGCTGACCCTGCACAGGTCATTGCTAAAGTTGATTTAACTGTTCTAGCTGTTCACTGTGTAGCTTTTCTAACCGAACTGATCTGATAGCTACAATAAGAATATTATAACTATTAATTTGCCCATAAGCAAAACTCTTACTAAGACGCACAGCATAGATCTTTGACCAGTAACCAATCAGAATCGGCTGTATCGACCACATATGTGTACACATACAAGGAACTGGCCTATGGCTCTGTCCTTGCTCTCAGTGTACATAACGTATTTATCATACAATAGTGGAGTCTGCAAAGATGCTGGAATAAATTATGGAATATATATAATATGGAATAAATAAGTGATAAGTAGCTTCTATATGTGCAATTTATACATGAGGATAGATAGATGGGCATGGTTATGAAATTAATTGGCGATAACCTTAAATATCTGAATTGCAAAGATACAAGGTTGTTGACGTCATGGAAAAATCTTACTTCCACAAAAGAATCCTACCTATGAGGAGATAATAGATTTGCCAGCTCTTCACAAAAACAGTGAGGAATCACAGTCACTCATTGCCCTGTATCAACTCATCCACTATATTGTGGCTTTGCAGGTCGGCGATACCTGTTTGTCATTGCGTGATGTGACAGGTGGAGGATAACGCTGCTGTCGAGCAGCTCTGCTGAGGCTGCGTGACACAAAAGAACCTGACATTTTGACAGAAGAAAGTCAACAATTAAGCAAGAAGAATAAGGGTATAATGACAGAAAGGGTGGAGTCACCGCTGAGTTCGCTGGCAGGAGAAGTAATCATTATGTTTGCGCCAAGACGCTTTCATTCAGGAGCCTCAGAGATTTGCTTCATCATCTGGGGACAACGCCCTTAATGCACAGTGTGTATGCAAGGGTGTTAGCCTCCTTATGCACAGTACGAATGAGTAAGAATTGTGTGCTGGTAGGGATTGCATGTGAATGTGCACTGACTCAGTTAAAATTTAGTTCTTAGTGGCACTGACTGCACCTCAGCCTATGATTTTAGCTCTTTCTGTCTTCCCCCAAATTACTAAAGCTCTTTAACCCCACAAGCAATTTATCTCCACTGCCAAGTTTTTTCTCAGTCCTGACTTTGACTCCACTCAGGATTTCCATTTCAAACGGATTCTCAATATTCCAAATACTGGAAGTTATGTTATTTAACTTTTTTGGGCAGAGCGTGATGTCATCATGGGTGATAATCTTAACATTACACACTGTAGCGACAAGCAAAACAAACGTTTTTTGGGGGGGGGGAATGTAAATAGTTTTTTATGTGTGACAGAAAAATGTATTATCATTATTAGTAGTAGTAGTAGTTCTCCCATTGACCACTTTCTTTCCATAAGCCTTATTCACACAAGCACTTTTTTCCATGCCTAAGCACTCGGCCTTGTCTACTAATCAGAAGGTTGACCCGCAGACAACCTGCTCCACCTCCTCCTGAGCTACAGCCTCGCTGGTTAAGTCATGCAAAATGACATATTCTGATTTCCTGAGAACATAGTTAAGGTTAGAGTTAAGTTTGGGACCATAACTGCTGAAAACCTTGTGTTTTGGGGTGTTTTACTTTAAATGTGAGTGACAGATAATGACCAATCACTGCAGGTTTACTTTTGTAGTTCTGACTGAGATCTCAGATTCAGGGGTGCAACATTATCACATATACTGGTTTAAGCACATTGTCTTAGTAGACTGTGCTGTTTAGCTTTTGTGTTAAATACAGAAAAATGGAGGTAGTAGGTTTCTATTATTCAAACACTTCTCACTATGATTTGATAAGTATTTTCTGGTTCCACTGGGGATCGAACTCAGGACTTTCTGCGTGTAATGCAGACATGCTAACCACTACACTATGGAACCACAATGCAGAGGAAGATGAGCTGACTGACAGCACATAGATGTGTTGGTTAGTTTCATGTTTCCATGTTCTGCCCACTGCACATGTTCAAAGACATGCACTGGTTGGGTTAACTGTCATAGGCGTGAATGGTTGTCTGTCTCAGTGCAGTAACCATCTGATGAACGCCTATAACAGCTGTTCACCCAAACCTATAATCCTCACAGTAGTTGTAAAGACAATTAACTGACCACAGGACTTTTGCAAAGTTTTTATTACTTTTTGCTTGTTTAGTTCAATTGATTTTTAAGTGACAGTTCACAACAGCAGTTATCCCAAGGTTCGCTATATTGCAGGGTAAGATTCATGCCATATTAAAGAGTGAACCTCAACAATCTCACTTGGGAGAAAGAACTCCCGTTAAATCCTGCAGTATCAGGATGTCTAAAAGTCAAGGATACGTGACAAAGCACAGACTAACGGCTGGAGAATGCACAAAGTCTATGACATGCAATAGTGGCATGTAAACATGACAGGAGTGCACGGTGTGCCGCTTAAAAGAAAAGCGTCAAAAGAATTCTTTTAAATATCTCCCTCACTGACAGTTGCCAGATGTTAACAAGGACAAAGTCAGCTACAGGTTGTTCCCTGCAGGTACCCAGATGACTCACCTGTTTATCTACAATCAGTTCCTTTTCCATTTGATGCTCAGGTACATTTTCTTTGGCTTCGACCTGCCGAGCATTCACCCGGGGGCCTGGTGAAGCTGGCTGTTTGACTCGCAGCTCATTCCACAGTTGCTGCAGTAAAACTCCTGTCAAAACTTGTCGATCTGATTCTGCAATGCTGCCTGCAGTCCTCTCTCTGAGGAGTTAAAATAGCTCTAAGACGAACAGCTGTAGAGATAGATAGAAGACCTCTGAGGATTGTGAATACATTTGAAAATATTTCTTCCTGCATCCTGAGCTATTTCTTCTAATGATTATACTGAACACTCGATGTAGTATTTGTCTCAGCAAGCTGCTTTTTGTAAGCTCATCCTAATTTAGTTCTTCGCTACAGGAAAATCAATACTTTTACATATGTGTTGACAGTACTGGTAGATATTAATACGCTGTTAATGTGAGAGGTATTAGATTCGTAAATAAGCTATATAGACGTGTTTGAGCTAGTGTTTTAAACTGGGCTGTGGGGTGTACTGTGAGCTCTAATGTGAGGCTGTTGCATTAGAAATAAACAGCAGCCATTGAAGAGCCTGAAGCAGAAAGCCAGGTTAGCAGAGAACACTGATAACCATCACGATACCTGTTATCTCTGTCTGTGGGTTTAGGTTTTGTTGAGCCGGCTAACTCCAAGAAATCCTAGCGAGGTTGAGCTTCCTTCATACCCCTCTGGCCAGCATGCCGATTATTTTTCAGCATTAAGCTGCATCATTTAACTACATCTCATTTTGAGATAATGATATTAGCTATATGACATATGAGCGATATCATTGGCTCGTTTTGCGCTAATGATATTAGCTATATCAGTGTTTCCCAACCTTTTGGAGCCACAGCACATATTTCACATTAGAAAAATCACACGGCACACCACCAAACAAAAATGTCACAAATAGCAGATTGATCATTTTTCCCTGCACACCAAGTATAGCGAATTAGCTCGGTTTGTCCCTAGTATACCTTTTTTTACTACTTTTTCTTTTCAAATATTTATCTATTCTAATGCGCTGCGTTGTCTCACTCACAGCATGCCTATGTAATTTCTTCTTCGTCTTTTTCTGTTTTACTCGCTGTTGGCAACCCATTTAATTAGAGCAAGCAGTTGCACTGCCCTCTAGTGGAAGAGGGTGTAATTGTTCTGCCGTTACTCACGCCAGTCGCTTTGGAGCACCAATCAAGTGAAAACAGATGATCTGGAATACCTGATCATTTCTCACGACACACCTATGTGCCGCGGCACAGTGGTTGGGAAACACTGAGCTATGATATATGAGCTATATCATTAGCTTATTTTGAAGTTGACGGCAGTGGAACTTCTCCAAAAAGTTGGGACAACAAAATGCTGGAAATATCCGTAGTACTGAAAAAAACAGCTGGAGGAACAGTCTGCAACTAATTAGGTTGGCTGGCAACGTGTCAGTAATTTGACTGGGTATAAAAAGAGCATCTTAGAGAGCTAATATTCTCACCAAACAGTAAAATATTTCAGTTTCATTTGATGTGTTTCCTGTGTTTTGTTCTGAATAAAATTTGGGTTTACAAGATTTCCAACCTACTGCATTCAGTTTCTGATTGTCTTTTATGCCAGTGGTCAAGTTGGTGGTAGCTCAGCACAGGCCAAAGTGGTGGACCTGTTTGAATATTTGCAGTCCAATTTATTCTTGTCAGTCTATTTTTTGTTCTTTACTATTTTAGTTGATGCCTCAAACTACTTGCAACACAGTGCTGTATGTTGCACGTCTGCCTGTGCCGCTGTACTTGCTCGTGTATGATAAACATCTTTCCCACTGTGTAACGCGGACGTTGCACCTGTTCAAGAACTTCCCTTGTCTTCATTAATGCAGTGAGAGAGGTGACCTTAAGTAACTTAGCAGATTTTAATCACCATTAACTGAAAGCTTCTGTGTGGGTGTGCACATTTTTTGACTTGTGAATCAAGCAGCTGGATGAGTAACCTCTGGTGATAGATAAGGACAGGCTGGCTAGACAGAGATAACTTCCCGCCTCGCGTGTTTCACCAAAACGTGCCCAGGTCAACCCTCTGTGGGGAAGCTTCCTTGCCATCCACACCCTGAGCCGGCTGGTCTGACTGGAGCATTATATATGGTCTTGTCTTGGTCAGTCATCTCCTTTTGCCTTTTATTTTATTGTGTTTGTTCATGTTTTAACATGTGGGAATATTTTCAGCTCTGTTAAAGTGTTCTTCCAAGAAAAGATATTGTCTAACCAGGAAGATAGTCTGGATGCCATCAGCCTCCAGCGCCACTGTGAGGAATCTCGAAGTCATTTTTGACCAGGATATGTCCTTCAGCGCACACATTAAACAGTTATCTAAGACTGCCTCTTAGGAAGATCGCTGTCCCTGGTCCACTCCTTTGCTGCTTCTTTCTATACAAATCAATAAAATAACTCTTATTTAAATATTGGTTCCTCTCAATTAATTCATATTGTTTCATCAGTAACTAATTTTGTAGGGATGCTTGTAGTGGATTTACTGTATGAAAATTACATAATCATAAACCTCTAAAAAAAACTTTGTTGTGAAGCTGAAGTTCTGAGATTTCTCCAGCTGTGTGTTTTGTGAAAAATATATTTGTGGTCTGGAATGTTTTGGTTGTGGTTGCAAAAACAGCATAACTTCATGTCCGATCTTAAAACAAACAAGATGTATCTTTAAGTGATAAGTCGTCTGGTATCTTTTCATCAGCAGTCATTAAAGATCTCTGCGCTGCAAAATGTGCACCTCTTGGAACTATTAAAGTAAGATGAGGCTGTTGTACGGCAATGACTGACTTGTTTCAACAAAAGCCAGGAAAAAAGTCACTTGACATTTCTTGGAACGTCAGCCATATGCAAGGCCGTCTTTACTTGGAACATGCACAGAATCCTCTTCATAATCTTTTGAAGAGCCTTTTGAAAGGCCACGTGACCCGCTTCAGCATCATCTGTCAGGCAGCTGTCGCGTATAGGCGTTACTATAACTGCATGCATTTATGGTAGTGCTGCAGACAAAAGCAGCACACTGTGCCATGCCCAGATAACATGTGAGAGGATGGAAAAGGAAAACGAGCCAGCGGATCTGTCAAAACAACCCACAATGCCCGCAGACTGTGAGTTGTCACTTAGATATGCAGGGATCAGCTGTATTGTTCACCTGGCTTCCATGGTTTGGTGAGGACCTGCTTTGACAAGCTCTATCATACCCACAAGTATATTTTGGATTATGGTGTAAAAACAACTTGTCCGTGTGGCCGCACAGTGAGATATTTATGGCAGTCCTTACCGACCCTGGCTGGAGTTTAACTGCACAGTCACGACGGGCGAGTCAGACAAAGGCTCACGTGATTACTTGTTGCACTAGTTGTTATTTTGAGTTTTACCTTTAGACAAAATAACCCTTTTCTGGTCACTCTCCTTTATTTTTTCTTATGCACCCATGACTGAGATGTAGGAAAGCACAATACAAAATTTGGAAACATGTGATCACAGAGGTGTACTTATCAGATTGTATGAAAACGATAATCACAGCAACAAAACAACATGAGCGATCTACAGTAAGCTGAGCTGAATCGGGAAATTGTGCCGTCTATCAAATATGTGTTTCGGCCCGAGCTTACATTAACAGGCCAGTGAGTGGAAACCTAAATCATAAATGCAACTTTAAAGACGTCATTCACTTTGAAATTTCTCACTACCAAACATGGCTGGTGTTGTGCTATGAATCTGATTTGTCCTGTAATGAATTTCTTCTAAATTACTTTATATTTATAGGGATGTAGCACATTAACTTTGTGCTCACTCTTCATTTTGCGCACATGTGCATCATATTTCATTTTATTTTATTTTATTAAAATTGTCCCAGATAATGAGAAACATCCGTGCCCTCACTTGTGTCCAAGCTTTTGGCTTTCTCAGCTATTCTGCTGTAGATTTGCTGCTGTGACCCAATTTGGGCCATTTGACATCTGACTCTGTATATGGTATATCGTATGTATACAGAGAAACACGTGGTTGGCTTAATGACTTCAAGGTGTCAGGTTTCTGTTGCTCCAAACAATCATCACCCCTCCACCGCTGTGGAGGTTTTCACCAAATGCGGTGCTGTGTTTTATGGCCAAACATCTCCACTTTAGTCTCACATGTCCAAAGGACATTGTTCCAGAAGTGGTTTGTTAAGATGCAGCTTTGCAAACCTAAGCCATGCTGAGCCAGGAAGAGGCTTTCTCCCAGAAACCCTTCCAAACAAGCCATACTTATTCAGTCTCTTGTAATTGTGCTGTCATGAAATTTTAACAGCTAGCCTG